ATTCCACCATGAACATGTCAAAAGTGTGCCTCTTAGAAAACAAGGAAGGGCAGCACTAAGGCAATCTACAGCTGTAGCAAACATCCCCATTCTTTCTAAAAAAGTTAGATTTTCTATGGTCCAAAAGAGAGAGAAGGTTCGTGGAAAAATGAAAGAGGACAATGATTTGATGGCATCATGGAGATGCCCTGGGGGGTGGGGGGGAGAGGGATCAAGTAAATAAAGCATGGCATTTTCACCCTCATGTTTGGAAAGATCCTGGATCTCTTCCTGGGACCACCATAGTCTCAACTCACACAAACCAAAAAGTCCCAAGAGAGAAAATGTGAGTCCTGTGCAGTGCTATATTTTTCTAGAAAAAGAGGTGCCGGAACTCACCATGAACGCCACCCTTGTTCTCTTATAATGGCAATGGCGCCCACCTGAGAGGTGCCAGAACTGAAAAAAGTCCTGGTCCTATGTGCAATGGGATTGCTTTAGGGTGTATTTTAATTATAGTGTATTTTAGTAATGTTGTGTATTTTTTTTACATCTTGTAAGCCACACAGACGCTTGTTTTGGTATAATGATGGTATAATTGAGCAGTATAATACAAACTGATAAATAATCATCATCACAAAGGATGTTAACATTTTTGTACTCTGCCATTTCTCCCCTCTGCCTATGGCATGAAATTGCTCTTGTTGAGGAGAAAGGAAAATCCTTCCCCCCCGGCTTCGGCCCTTGCTGTGTTTCCATCCAACTTGGCTGAACTGCAGCTCCTGCTCCTAATGAAACCGGTTGTTCATGCCTCTAGACAATACAACCACACTTCTCCAAATGCAGGAAGAAAGGAAGGAAGGAAGAAGGTGGATTGGAATAAATGAGAGCTGGAGGCTTCGGCCTGGCTCTGCTCCTGCTATCCCCCTGACTGTGGCAGAGTCTTGGGGGGGGGGGGGGTTCTTGCTACTGAACGGAATCTAATTATTTTCTCAGGGATGTAAGACCTGGAGAAATTACAGGATGTAGCTTCCTTTCCTCTTGTTTCAAAGTGGGGGAAAGGAAAGAAGGATCTGTGGGGAGATGGCTAGATCAATGTATACGCTGTAATTATTTTATTATTGGAGCATGCTCTCTCTCTCTCTCTCTCTCTCTCTCTCTCTCTCTCTCTCCACATTAAAAAAAACACACCACACATTAATCACCATCTCAAAGTACGTTCCACAGAAATTAGTTTTGACAGGACTTCAATAGACATGGTGGATCTGACGCTAAACACCCTGCTACTCTCCTCTGTCTTCTCAGCATGGCACGAAGTCATAACAGCCACTTGTCTCTGACATTTGGATAGCAGTTCCTGGAGTGCGGAGAGAGATTAGGTCTGATTCACTGCAGGCCATGTGAGCCTGTCAAAGCTGCAGAATTGGTGCTGGGTATCAAGGAGATTTTGAGGCACCTGGGAGCTCCCTAGCTCAGCCAGAGCAGCACCCAGACAAAAGGGAAGGCTATCCTTCTGTCTGCTGTGACCCCGAATACCCAGCAGCGGCCAGGACACTGAGTCGGGAACAACAGAGAGTAAAATGGAGAAAAGAATACTAGAACTGTAATACTAGAACTGGTGGGCCTCCAGTGGAGCCGAATGTTGGAAGATTCAGGACAAATTTTTTAAAGGGCATGTTTTCATGTTGCAAACTATCGAAGTTGCTCCTGCAGGAGGCAGTGATGGCCACTAATTTGGGTAGCTTTAAAAGAGGGCTGGACCATAAAGAAGGCTGATCGCCGAAGAATTGATGCTTTTGAATTCTGGTGCTGGAGGAGACTCTTGAGAGTCCCACGGACTGCAAGAAGATCAAACCAATCCATTCTGAAGGAAATCAGCCCTGAGTGCTCACTGGAAGGACAGATCCTGAAGCTGAGGCTCCAATACTTTGGCCACCTCATGAGAAGAAAAGACTCCCTGGAAAAGACCCTGATTTTGGGAAAGATGGAGGGCACAAGGAGAAGGGGACGACAGAGGGCGAGATGGTTGGATAGTGTTCTCGAAGCTACCAGCATGAGTTTGGCCAAACTGCGGGAAGCAGTGGAAGACAGGAGTGCCTGGTGTGCTCTGGTCCATGGGGTCATGCAGAGTCGGACACGACTAAACGACTAAACAACAACAACAAAAGAGGACTGGATAAATTCATGGAGAACATTGTCAGTGGCTACTAGTCATGATAGCTAAGCTCTACCTCAAAGGTAGTAAGAAGTATATTGACGAGCTGGAATGCGTACAGAGCAGGGTGGCCAAGATGGCCAGGGGTCTGGAAACTAAGCCTTATGAAGAACGGTTGAGGGAGGTGGGTACGTTTCACCTTGGAAAGAGGAGAGTGAGAGGTGATAGGATGGTCATCTTTAAATATCCGAAGGGCTGTCACATGGAAGATGGAGCAAGCTTGCTTTCTGCTGCTCCAGATGGTAGGACTCAAACCAATCGAGTCAAATCACAAGAAAGGAAATTCTGACTAAACACGAGAAAGAATTTTCTGGTGTAAGAGCTGTTGAACAGTGGAACGAACCACCTTGGAAGGTGGCAGAGTCTCCTCCATGGGAGTTTGTAAAGCAGAGGTTGAATGGCCATCGGTCAGGGATTCTTTAGTAGTGATTCATGCTTTGTAGGGGTTTGGACTCGATGACCCTTGGGGTCCCTTCCCACTCTACAATTCTATGATTCCAGTTAATGCTTCTGAGTCCCAGCATGCTCTTCTTATGCTCTTATTGCCAGCTAAGGAGCTGGACTGGGTCCTCGCTCTGAGTCAGATGTTGGTGATCAGGGGACCATTGAACTTGAGGCAGGAACTCACTGAACCAGTTGCCACAGCACCTGGGCCTACAGAACCAGAGCCAGGACCAGAGCCAGGACCCAGCCCAATAGAACAATGAGTGTACCACTGCTACAGGGAAAAGACTATAAGCTCAGAACATTTGTTTTGCATGCAGGGGTAGACAACCTTTCCCCCCCTTGGGGAAAATCCATCATGTTTCATGTGCCAGCTCTGGGCAGAACCAGGCAGAGACTAAAGTGTGCCAGGCTGATTTATCCAGAACAACCACCACCCTGCTTCCATCTTCACCATGGGACGTCTCAAACTGGAACTCTCAAACTGAAGGATGTGCAACTGAAACAGCCCAAATTTCTTCCCAGATGGCATTCACCTCCAAGTATCTTCCCTTTCCTCAGTTGAAGGGGAATTTGAAATTGTAAGCTCCTTTGGGGTAGGGACCTTGTCCCCTTACATACTTGATCTTCTCATGAAACCACCAAGCCTCTTGAAAGCATACCAGCACGAGTAGATACATGGGTAGCACTGCAACGGGAAGATAAACAGCATTTCCGTGTGCTATGACTTCTGTCATGGTATTCTGTGCTCCAGAAGCAGTTTAATCATGCAGGCCACATGACCCGGAAAAGCTGTCTGTGGACAAATGCCAGCTCCCTTGGCCTGAAATTGCCAAATGTGGCTGGACGTAACTGTCCTGGGGTCCTTTACCTTTACCTGCCTTGATGGGGAAGGGCCATCTCCTTTGCATGCGTAAGGGCCAAGATTCAATCGCCAATGGCATCTCTAGGTAGTAATGGGAGAGACCGCTGCCTGAAACCTTGGGGAGCCACTGCCAGCGGTGGAGCTAGCCGCTTGGGCACCCAGGGTGAGGATCCACCCACAGGGGTGGGGCGATTGGTGTGGCTGTGTGATCCTCCCAGTGGGGGGCCCATCGCGGCATGTTGGCACGATCCTCCTGGCAGGGGTCCGATCACGGTGCAGCGCTGCCTGGGCAGCTGGTTGTGGCGCTGCACGCGATCTGCCCAGGGGGGATTTTGTCACCCCCCTCTGGGATGACACCCGGGGTGAACTGCCCCCACCGCGCCCCCCTTCCTACGCTGCTGACCACTGCCAGCTAGTGTGGAATTGCTGAGCTAGATGGGTGATCTAACTCAGCATAAGGCAGCTTCCTAAGTGCCTAGAAGAGATTATTCTGCAGAGATGCCAATGCAGGATGGCATGGGGGCTTACTTATATCTTATAATCTGGTGCCTGGTGATCTGTTTGTCCTTCCCAATGACTCTGCTGTTTTACCTCTACCGTCGCACTGTCCTCTTAGTGCCTAACAGCTTGTACTTTAATCTACTCATTAGCAATTACAGAGGCACGCTCGGTTGTGTGTGTACCTAGCATGCCACTGCATCCATTCCGGGCTGGATAAAGGGGAATACAACAGGGCCATTTGAAAGAATAGCATCTGATTAGCTCCATCTCAGCTGCCCAGGAGGAACAGATGGGAGTGGAGGTATATTGAGGCTGTCATTCCTGAACTTAGTGCTGGGGCACATTAGGGTGGTGCAAGAAAATAATTAAAGGGCTCAAGAGAACCCACGCACAGAGGAGGCGGCTTGCTGTTTTCTCAGAACAAGCCACTGGACTTCCATGTCATCAGCTCTTGTTTGGTGGCGGAGGAAACCTAATTCTGCCACATCTTAGCACCGGGTGCTGTTGGATCATTAGATCACCTGTGAAGCAGACATGAGAGCAGATGGCAGAGGAATCTGCCTGCTGAGGCTTTGTTTGCATCACAGTTCTGGCCTCTGTCCAATTACGAGTCATGCACAGAATAGAAACATTGGGAGGGGGGCTTCCTATAGGGTGGCTTATTGTTGGCAGCCCTGTGTGAGTGTGTGAAATACTGGCCTGGGCCCTTGCTTGCTCTATGTGCTTTGGAGTTGGGTGAGATTCAGAAGAAAGGCCCATGCGCCCCTTGTTAGTGGTGGTCAAGCCATTGGTGTCTTCCCCATAAGGTGGAGCAGGTTTGTGTGGCCTCTAATGTGCTGCATGCTGCGCTCTGCCTATGCCTTGTGTCTTCTTAGAATATCATTGTCTGGCGGCTGGTTACATGGATGGTGTACCTTTTCAAGGTTCATAGCTCTTTCTGGCATGCATGTAGAAATCTGGGGAGTGTCTATCTGCCTGCATTGAGTCATTGTGACTGTGTAGCTCAGTGGCTGAGCATTTGCTTTACCTGCAAAAGGTCTTTGGTGCAACCCCAGACATCTCCTGTAGAACCACACCAAACACACTCACATACTGTATTATCTTCATCACCAAAGTGTAACAGTCTGGGGTTGTGTGGGATGGAAGACCCATTACTATTTCTGCAGCACGGTCCCTGTCCCCAGTAACCTACAGCCACCCAATCAGTATGAAAAGGGACCTTTTTAGCCGATGTATGCTTCAAAGATGAGCATTTAGCAACACCGAAAACACAAGGTGCTTCCGTTTCAGGAGAATGATGTGCAAGTTCTGCTACGTACAATGGAACTTCAAGGAAAAACACAACTTAAGCCACTCTGATAGAAGATATTGTTGTTGTTGTTTAGTCATTTAATCATGTCCGACTCTTCGTGACCCCATGGACCAGAAGGTATTGGAGCACTCCAAATCATTTGCCGATGTATATGCACAGAAAAGAGCAGATCTAGCTGAAAGGCCAGATCTGCATTTATTGTTGCAAGCATCCCTAATTATTATTACCGTATAATTTTAAGGTTACTGTGACCTTGGAAAGTTGCATCACCTTGCAAGGGGCATGGCTGTGAGACTCATGAAGGTACCCAGCACTTCTGAATATGTTACTGGCCAAATGAGTTCATGGTGGAGGTGAGATTTGAACAGGGAACTCCGATCTTCCATCCCTTGCCTACTGGTTTGTAGTACCAGCCTTTCCCAATATGGAAGGAAGGTTGTGTCAGTTGGGGCTGATGGTGGCAGCAATCCAGAACATCTGGAGGGACTCAAGCATGAGGAAGGGCTGTGCTCTATGGCAGAGTTGGGGCATCTGTGGCCCTCCAGATGTTATTGAGCTGTGGTGCTCACCATCACACCTCAAGCTGTCTGAGGCTGATAAGAACTGGAGTTTAGAAACAACTGCAGGACCACAGGTGCCTCATCACTAGGTTAAGGTGTAAGTAGACTTATAAAGTATAACACTTCCACCTTCATCCCACTCCCATTTTTGTCCATTTATTTGAGAAGGTATGGTATATTCTATTTTTTAAAATCTCCCTTCTCCTTCAAAAAATAAAAAATAAAATTCCGGTTCATGCCCTAAAAACATCTTCTTGGACTATCTTTTGGGTAAACAAAAAATAAACTTGACTAAGATACTGATCTAGTTCTACTGAGTTGGGCACCTCATCAATAAGTTCCAGAGGCTCAATTAACATGAGGACATCAGTGGAGCCTTTGATAACTTAGCAAATGCAGATTAGTTTTTTTTCCTTTAAAAAATAGCCTTCTATCAGCAGGAGCCATCCTGAAAGGTTCCCCATCAAAAGAGAGAATTTTTAAGCAAAAGGAGGACATTAAAATCTTATCATCTCACTTGAAATTAAGCCAATGAAAAATTAAAGCTGATTTCTAATAGGCTTATGGTACATTTTTAAAGGCTTAGAGGGCACTGATAGAAGCCAGAAAGCTAAGTGCTCCCCTTTCAGATGGGAAAAGACACTTCCCTTTTCAAAAACGCCCAGTGGAGGCAGGTAAAAGGGGAGAATGATAACTTACCCATCCTGCTGAAATGTCCCCGTTCCATCCTTCCTTTAAAGACAATGTAAGGATGCAGGAATATCACACAACTAAATTATTAACTTCAAGAGCTAGGATACAGTAACTAAAAGTGATTAAACGGAAATTATGGCAGAGATAACGGGAACAGCCAGCCAGAAAATGGCAAGCTAATGTGAACGCAGGAATGTTTCTATCTAATGTTTTCTACGTAGCATAGCAGCAGAGGACAAAAAGGAATCGGCAAGGGATAAAGGTCCTTTTAAACATGCATGCAACAATGCACTAAGATGCACTGTGAAACTCTCAGCATGCTGCCTGGAAGTCTGTTTATTGAACATTTAACCTGATTTGTTTGCAGTCAGGTTAGATGATGTTATGTCAAAGCAACTGTTATCTCACACTTTCTAGTACACCCCCCCAACACTTTCCTGATCGCAAATAGTACAATCTTTTGGGGGGAGGGGATTTGTCACACAAGACCTCCCAAAGGAACAACCTATATTAGCCAGTATGTGATAGAATCCCACCTGTAAATAGTGACAGGTTGGAAGCGCCCTTTGCTTAATGTTCAGGAAAGAAATCGCTTGTTTGAAAGGGCTTGAGGGAAAGTCCCCTAGAAATGAAGCTGTTTATACTCTGTCCTTAAAAAAAGTAAGTTGTGTGCTAAGGTAGTCTAAACTTTGCAGTAGGAGCAGCAGAATCCAACCTTCTCCACGAGTGCCACACATGCAGAATATTTGCATACACTTGCTTATGTTTTGCGACATTTATTCAGCTAGCCACAGGGAGGCAAGCGCTCTTATACACATGCTGCCTTAAGAAATTTATACCAAAGGACAGCTCATAAATCCACCAGGATGTTTCTAAATCAATATTTCCTAATTATATTCCAATAATATATTCTTGGTGGGGGGATATCTTTGTTAACAAATTTTCTAATAAATAAATAACTTCACTAACTAACTAAAGGGCAGTGAAACCCTGCCCCTGGAAATTACGCTCGACTCATGGGCATGCATACACACAAATTCCATAGGTCGGTTTACACATGAATGGACATTACCTGAGTTCTCTACCTCTGTGGACTGGCATGCAAATGAGCAAAACTGGTTCCACTGAACAGCCCTGCACCCAATGTGACCTGAGCATTCTATTTGTAGCTAGGTAAAGGTAAAGGGACCCCTGACCATTAGGTCCAGTCATGGCCGACTCTGGGGTTGTGGGGCTCATCTCGCTTTATTGGCCGAGGGAGCCAGCGTACAGCTTCCGGGTCATGTGGCCAGAATGACTAAGCTGCTTCTGGCGAACCAGAGCAGCGCACGGAAACGCCGTTTACCTTCCCGCCGGAGTGGTACCTATTTATCTACTTGCACTTTGACGTGCTTTCGAACTGCTAGGTTGGCAGGAGATTTGTAGCTAGGAGTACACATAGGAACATAGGCAGCTGCCTTATACTGAGTCAGACCACTGGCCCAGCTTGTCTACACTGATTGGCAGCAGTTCTCCAGGGTTCCAGGCATGGAGTCTATCCTAGGCATCTGGGGATGCTATTGAGGACTGAATCTGGGACCTTCTGCATGCGAAGCAGATGCTCTACCACCAAGCTACAGTCCTTCCCCATGTTCTTTCCTGCCTTCTTCCACCAAGTCCTCCTGCCCTCTGATCAGGGCAGTCAACAGAATGCAGGAGGAGCCTCTGAATCATGGAGCTCTTCTCTGTCCATCAGAGCACTGGGGACGGGGCTCTGCTTTCAGTTCATGTCAAAGCCCTTGGAAAGCAAAGTAGCAGAGGTTAGCTGGGTTAGATGGACCAATGATCTGACTTGGCAGGAAGCAACTTCCTCCGTTGCTATGCTAAATCTGTGATGGGTCCATGAGCAAGCCACCACTTCATGTTGCTGTCCCATCAAATGATGGCATGTGAACCAACACTTGGCAATACACAATGGAACATGTCAGGTGGTTCCACCAAAATGTACTGAGTTTCAAGCACGGGAGGTGATCATGCTAACCCCTTACAAGTTGTTTGATTTGCAGTGGCTGACCACAGAAGCAATAACATAGTCCCCACACATGCTGCCTTCACCATAAGGGTTAGAAACTTGCATTTTGCACAAAAAACAAATCATACAATGAAAGCTGCAATTGTTAGGAGGCTGAACTTCATGCCTCGTACTAACTTCTGCGCTACACAATAATCCCAGAATAAAACACATCCCGACTATTTAACATTAATTAAGTGCCAACCATATGCCAGCTCTGAACACAATACTAACTACCTCAAGCTAAGCACTACAACAGCTGAGGGGGACAGATTCAAATTAGTAAAACAATGATGTTATAGAATAACTTTGTTTCTCACAAAGCCAATCAAAAACGACTCTCTTTGGCTTTCTCTCCTCTATCAACTGTTCACAAATCCAAAGTTAAAAATACCTCCTAGCTCACAGTCAAAGGGACTGCTTCTCTCAGAATTAAAAAAAGGCCTTCCCCTGAGTGTGTATGTGTATGTGTGTGTGTGTGTGTGTGTATGCACCTTATCAGTTCTCCTGAATTAATGTGTCCACAGGAGAGAAGAAACAGGATTCGCTGTTTGAGTGACAGTAAAGGATGTTGCTCTCTGCTTCCCAAAGCGCCTCCCCGCACTCAAATTTCCCTTTCTCAAAGCTAAGCTTATCTGTGCCCAGCCAGTTACTCGTTTCTCTACACCATTAACTCCCTTCGCCAGGGGCACAGAGGCTCTCACAAAAAGTTCAAATCTACCACGACTGCTCTGCTTTGGACACCGGAAAGTCATAGCCCCAGCTTAGCCCCAGCTTAACCCCACTGAAGATTTATGGGCATGTTTACATCCATGACATTTTTAGTGGTACTTGCTGCCAGCACTATTTCTTCATCACCTGGTGGATCAGGCAGGACGTACAAAGAGGGCAGGAGAAGAGGCAGCTGCAACTCTGGGGTAGCATCTCTGGACACTGTCTTAGCAAAGGCAGAGGGAAGTCCACACTGTTACCAAAAACTACAGAATACCTGAGGATCCAAGGCTACCATGAAAAATGTAAACTCAACACAGAAGGGAACAGGGGTGAGCAACGTTGTTTTATGAGTCCACTCACTCTACCTTGAAGGAGGTAATATTATGAGGAGGCAATAACAAGCTGCTCCACTTGGAGGGGGCTCCTCAACAGCTCCACCTGGATCCTTCTGGTTTTCTCACCTTACTCAGGGGATTGACACCACTTTCACAGTGTAGATGTCAGTGACTGCTGAGTTAGACAAAGGAACCTTGAAGTCAGCAGTGCTGGCTCCTGGTGGTGGAGGGGGTCAACTGTAATACTAGCCTTGCCAGCCTCCATAAGGCCTCAGTTGGCTCCAGGTTTTGGCTGAGATAACATCTTCTAGCCATCAGGATCCACTGGAAGCTGATCAGAGTCCATAATTCCTTAGAGAGACCTGTCTTGACACTGCCTGGCTTGGGTTGATATGCTTGT